CCCCAAAACCCCAAAACCCCAAAACCCCAAAACCCCAGCCTAAAATTAAAGTATTGATTCGTCCCAGTTCCTTTTTCAAGTAAATTTTAATAAATAATTTAGAGTGTTGATTTTTCCGAGTTTTCTTTAAAATTTATTCATACCCACTGGCATCGAGGAATCACCGAAGTTAAGAAGGATGGAATATCGCATAAATATCGAAAAATTCCGAATGGTGAGCTAGAATCCAAGGTTATTAAAGGGGATTCATGCCTCCACAAAGATGGAATTCTAACCCTTTTAACATAGGCAAGTTCTCGAGAGAGGCCTTAAGCTACTTGTTTTATTAATTCTTAAGCATGTGGGGGAAATAAAATTTGTATCTTGTATGAATATAATGACCTCTTTATCGCCAGGGGCTCTTTAAAACCCTCATTGATTATTAGAGAATTATAGACTAAGCGACCTCTTGTCATTCGAAGTGAATTGAAGTCTTCATCATAAAAAGTATGATCCCCTGCAAGTAATAGCAGGAACGATGCAAATTAGAAATCATTTAGAGATACAATTAGATGCATCCCCTCAGTTTTGGATATAACTTTTAAGGAATCAAGATAAATTCGAGAACTTTATGGAAAATTTAATCTAACTAAATCTCCAATTTTAATTGTCAGACAACCAGGCCAGATCCAAAAGAAGTATAACTCAGATCTTTTCCTTGCTAATTCCGATGACACTCTATTACAAAGATAGTAGGGTTCTCTAGGACTATAAAGATGCTTAGCCAGTCTTAGCCAAAGGAATGTTAATCTTCACACTTTATTGGATGGTTAGAGAAGTTATTTCTAATCTTAGAAAATTTTATCTAAAGCTCAATTCAAAATTCCAAAAATCTTACTAAGAGATCATCATTCTAACAAATCTCAAGACTTGAAGTGGAGTCTGACAAACTCCTCTTGAGATGGAGTGGGAGGGGTTCTAATATAACAGCATAACATAAGAAGGACATCAAGTCTTTGGACCCTCTAAACCTAGTTTAATCCATTAGAGACTTCAGGTGATGAAGATTTCACGTAGAAGACAAAGGTCTTGGTTATAAATAAGCTCTTTAATATAATTAGTTATTGTTTGCCATGCACTGTTCGAAGGACTCTCCTTTATGACACTTCTCAAAATGTTTCTAGAATCCCACAGTTAGATTGGAAGGGAAGAAGAAATTTGAGAAAAAATAGTATAATTTTTGGATCACACAAGATTTTTATAAAACATCAATGAAGTCACCAAAACAAATGTTTAAGTGAAGTACTACTCAAGCAATGCTAGGACTAGTAAAGAATCAACTTACCTTGAGATTGTATCTCTCTGTGTAGGCAGCAGAGCATCTAGGACAAGGATACCTCTTCCTATCATTAAGATCTGGTTTCTGATGTACTTTTAGATGCTTCGTAAGATTGCTCTTTTGGGTGAAGGTCTTCTTACAGTAGCTACACTCGTTGGGCTTGATCCCATTATGCATCCTGCAGTGGTCGAGTAAGTTTCAAGTCCTGAGGAACTCCTTATTTCATCCATTCTTTGCACAGATATACACAGTTTGTTCCTTTCCTGACTTAGTTCTCCTTGTTTTTGTTTTATATTCAAAATCCTTCAAAAGTTCAAGGTTGATGTCATTCTTAGTTAGCAGGAGGAAGTTTTCATAGACTTGGGCTTTAGACGCTAAGTCAGATGCCAGAGCCTCTTCTTGTCCTAAAGAATGCTTAGAGAAATTCATCCAATGAAGCTTACTTTCTTCTTCCTTCTTCTTTAGCTCTAATAGCTTTGGAACCATGTCAAATAGTATCTCTGGAGATAAAGACTTCAGAGCATCTATTTCCACTTGGGAAGGATTCTGGATGATTGGCTGAGGAGCTAAGATCTCAGGTTTTGATTCAACTTTGGTGAAGGCAGTCCTGTGATTTCCTGAATTGAAATTAGATACATAAGTCTCGAATAGATTAGAATTCAAGAAAATAATCTTACCGAACAAAGATAGAGTTTGACTCATTACATTCAAAGGGATTGGCCTGAATACTGTAGGCTTCATTACTATAAGATGGATTATTAGAATCTTTGAATGGGGTCTTTGGAATACTGAACAAAACTTACCTGAAGTGTGGTATAAATAACTTCCTTGGCTCTGAATCACGCTCTCCGTGGTTTGTAAGACAGCTGCAGGAGGGTTATCAGTTGCCTTTTTGTCTTCTAATTTGCTTGTAATTAGTTCAACTATATTTGATATAAGACTCAAGTCAGGACAATTCTAGCTCTAGAAATTTCTAGAAAGAAACTGATTGCTTTAACTGGCACTATCGAGTAGTTTTGTGTAAAACAAGCTTGCGTACCTTGCATAGAATCCATTTAAATTAATTATAAAATTACCTTGTCAAAATCTTCTTCCCTTAATGGGGTTTTGGGGTTTTGGGGTTTTGGGGTTTTGGGG